GCTATTATCATAATAGTGAGAACTCTCCTCTTAATGCCAACCTCCTGTTCAGCAAGCAATGAGGAAATCTTCATCAGAGTTAGCTTTCAGTGAGTTGAGAAGGAACTTTTGTCTTCTTTCTCTATTTGGGCCTAAATGAACAGGATGTAAGCTCATACTTCAGTTACTTGGCTATTATTGTAAGTTCAGCTGAAGTTGGTATTATATGAATATTTCATCCTTACTTGGTTCTTCTTTCCTTCTTACAATAAAATCCATTGGGCTGATCATCCTCTCCAATCTGACTCCCTGATAGCAAGCCTGACAGTCACACATATCTGCTGACCCATCATTTATCCTTCACAGGATACCTCACTAAGACAAGACAAGATAAGATAAGATAAGATAAGATAAGATAATCCTTTATTGATCCATCAGAGAGGAAATTTAGGTGGTACAGCAACAGACAGAAATAAGTACAGATAAATGATACAAAAAATAAGAATTAAACAGTATAGAAAATAGAATAGAATAAAATAGAGCAAGGAGCAATTAAACTCAAAACTGAAATTACAATAGTAATTAGGCATTAGCAGTACACATACAGTACGTACATACAGATAATGCAACAAGATTTAAGTCTTTAATTGTTTAATTGTGCACACCGTCAAAAAACGATGATGATGAGCCAAAAATAATCAAATAATTTAGGCTTATATCTAAAGCTATATACGTATACTATGGTTATATCATTCACATTTGGTTTAATATAGGCTAGCCTATACTAAGGCCTGCACATGCTGTGCAATATTTATTACACAGCATAATTTCCTGTCTCTGCAATCAACTGTTAACAGAAAATATTCAAAAATAAATAAATGTTTTAATAAAGCAAGTGTGAGCATGTTGGGGATAAAGGGGGGTTATAAAATCTAAATGTCCGTGCACGTTCATGTTCCCATGTTTGTTTATATTCTGTGGTCTCATTAAAAAGAATATGAACCAAATTAAATTATTTAAAAAATAAATTCTCTGCTTCTTTTTATTACAGAAAGTGCTGCACCTTTTACTGTAAAAGCCGATTGTGGTTCAACCTAAAGGTAGATGGACAATATTTTTGATAGATCATCCAATACCACACTCACTAATGGATTTTCTTGTTGCTCCTGGTCTCTCTTAACAACGTGAGTGTTTTTACCCCAGTAACACTATAATGTTATGCTTGCACCTAACAGTGGGAACTATTCTCCTGTGAACACTGAATTGATGCATATCCCCTGTTGTGAAGTCAAGTTCAAAATGTATTTCTGACTCAGACTTTAATTAGAATAATGAAGCCTTTGGTCTGGAGTAACTGTTGTGATGTGCTAATGAAACTGACTTTGATCTAAAATAACTCAGGAAGCTGAAACGCATCCCAGACCCATGCATGGAATTCAAACAGTCCTGATCTGCTGCATGAGGTTCATGTCAGGCAGCTCAACGTGGAGCATGCGCACGGAGAGAAGAGAAAAGACTAAACATTACAAATAGAGATAAGCATGTGAGAATGGAAGAAACAATAACATCGGTTGACAATAAAATTTAATTTTCCTCCAGTGCTTGACTCACTTTGTCTCACAGCTGCCTTCTTTTGTTCTTTGTTATCCCATCATCACTCACACTGAAAAACCTGACAACCCATTTATTGCGTTTCCATTTTACTGAAAGATAAGGATAGTCAGAAATTTTAAGTGACTGTCAGTATCTCATTCATGTTTACTATACCATACTATGTTACACCTTATTGTTTGTTCTGTTCTCTTTTTGGTTTCTTTCTATTTTTCTAAGTCCATAAAAAAATGTATCATCAGAACAATACATTTACAGTCAGATACTGTGACTAGTATATCCAAATAATTACCCATTAAATATCTGTGACTAAACACTAAAAAGACAACTGATTTCTTGTGATGCGTGTTACCAGAATAAAGATACATACAAATAAAATTACACTGGAGACTAGTAAAAACTAAGTGTCTTTAATCTAAATAGATTTCTTATCATTTAATTAAAAATACAGATAATAAGAGTCCCTAGGGAAGTATAAAATCCTGCTTTCTCTAAACTGGCTGAAATGTATTAAATTCTACAAGTGCACAACAGGATTGCAACTGCATGTGTTGCAACAGCTTGAACAATTTATTCAGCAACAAATGACAGGCTTTGCTGCACATGTTCGAGTGGGTTTCCTCCCACAGTGCAAAAACATGCAAGTGGAGACTCTAAATTGTTCATACTGTACTGTGTGTGTAAATGTGGGCGTGAGTCAGTGATTGTTAGTAGGCTGATATCTGTGACGGACTGGTGACTGATCCAGGGTGTTTCCCTGCATTCAGTCCGATGAAAGCCAGCACAGACAACAACAGAGCAATGGTAACTGTCTGATTTGTAAACTTCAAAGAAATCTAATAGAAATTTGAACATTATCAAAGTCTGAAGAGAATTGTACCATGCCAGAATCTCAAGATCACTACATGTATTCATTCAAAAATGTGATTGTTTGGACATATTTTATGAGACATCCTGTTTTTGTCCTCATTGTTTCATCTTAGGTTTCTGAGAATTCTTTGTTTTCAACACGTTTATTTAAAGCAAAAGATCAGCTTGTTGTCCTATTCAACAAAGAATAATTTACATATATAAAGGTGTGTGACAATCTCTATTGATTTACAAAGCCGGATCCATTTGAGTCTGTTAAGGCTTATGTACATCACTGCAGATGTCTGTGTATAGTCATCTCAGTTATTGCAGCTGCTACTTCTAAATTGTGCGCCCCATCTGGATTACATGACAAAACCTGCATAGTCATTTAGACTAGTAGTCACGTCTGCTTGTGTCCTCTGTTGTCTCGTTCTGTGAGTCCACCTCAAAGAAGCCACCATTAAATTTTAGCCTTTGTTGAAATACTGAGGCAAATGATAGAGCCAATTTAGGTCTTCAAATAAAGCATGCTCCCCCAATTCCTCATGCTTCAGTCAAGATACTTAACAGGAAATCCAAACTAGTATTAGGCAGGCATTAACACAAAGCTGCAGTGCAAAATATTAAAACCTGTGGGGCCTGTTATTCTGGAGAAAGATAGTTGAATGTTGAGTCTCATTCCTAGGTCATCAACAATAATCTGGGAATGAGACTCAACAATCAACTATATTTCTCAAGGATGACTGAACCCACCTAGCAGTGTAGTATCAGATTGAAGCTCCCTCGCTTCACCCTCCCCTTCAAAACATGAAGGAGAAACTATGGTGGGCGCAAAACTTGAAGGTGTAGAAGAATATGTAGCAGTATCATATAGGATCATAAAGCCCATTTTACTCCTTTAAGTACATTTGGCAGTAATACATCGTTTTCAGGTTGGGGTGAGGTAGTTTTTCATGTAATGAAGTATTTCAGAGTTGAGTTGGTATAACTGAGTAAATAATGGACCTGAATACTCCCCCCGGTTATCACATGCACAGCCTAACTGCACCTGTGTTTTACTGGCGGAGCCTTCCCCTTTGAAGAAGGTGGGCTTATGGATGACCTTTGTGTGTAACAGGTTAGCTAGTTAGCTGCTAGCAGTGAACAAAAATCACAAGAGAAAATGCAGTTAAGCTCCGCAGCTCTGAAACGTATTAGGGAGACTTCCAGTTTTAGGTTATTTGAATTGTCCTGAGCCTGATTCGTAATGTTAGCTGTTAACTAGTTACTGTTAGCTTTTCACAGCTGTGAAGAGTACAAGAAGATGCCAAAGTAATGTTAATGTTACATAAACAGGGACTTTCTATTTTTTTTCTGTGGCAGCAAACAAGACACACAAGAACTACTAGACTGCAATCGCCGCTACACCAAAGATGTTCACAGTGTTCACTTTCTGACTTACTCTGGTTTCACATATATTTGTGGGAATCATATTCAGGTGTAGGCCATGACAGCGTGACAGTGAGCCAGCATGCACGATACCAGGACCTTGAAACTGAAGCAGCTAAATGGAATTCAGCCATCATTTATTTTTTACACCTGTGCTTTTGTTGACATATCAACATTGTCTTATATGGAAAAGGCCTGTCTAGTGACAATTCTGAGTCATTTATGTATCCACAATGATCCCCAAACAGATCACTGTTCCAAAGATATGTTTTGTTCCTGTCCAAACAGCACATCCCATGCCAAGTTAAACCAGACGGAGTAGGAGGATGTCCCCGGACCCCTACAGAGGTTACGCCACTGCCTCTGGTCTATAAGCCCCTGATGTGCCTTATAATCCTAACCATGGCTGTGAATGTAAGGCCATTGTTTTCATGTCTGTTTGAATGAAACACATAATCTAGGGCTGGCTGTACAATACACAGTCATATAATTGTGCTTTCCCGGCAGAGGTGCACCAATTCACTCTCCATTCATCCAGAGTCCCTGGTAGACTGGACCCTCCTATTTGTGTGCAGCTGGACCCTTTCATTACACTTGAAATGATAATGACATCATGTGTGCACAGCTGCAGTATTTGCATCCACACAGGCATGCAGCTGAATTTGTGTGACAAAATGGATAGGTGGAAACGGATCCTCCTACAATATTTACATGCACACTATATTCAGATGGGGAGGTTTTTCTGCTTGTGTGATTTAATAACAGGGCGAGGTTGAATAGAAAATAGATACAATGCTTTGAAATGGCTGTTTGCAGGAGTGACAGAGGAAGTCAGAGCCAAGGAAAGTTCACGGTCAGGATTTTGTAAGTCAGACGTAAACACATTACTGCCACTCGCATTTCAGTTCTGTGTAGCTTCTAAAACAGTGTGACAGATTTTGTTGAGCTGGCAGCTCCTGTGCCGTGATGGGGCTGAGGTTCCTGGGTCAGGCCTCTCGCTTTGAGGTTGACTCTTTGATTCCCCACTGAGTAAAGTTTAAAAGGTTGGAGGCAGATGAATGCCAGTATTTTGTCCTTTCTGTACACTTTGTGCAGATGTTAAGAAGAAGATAGGATGACTGGCAAGGGGCTGAGAATAGCAGAGTGTAAGCTTTTATTTCATCTGAACAGGTTAACAAATACAACTCTACCAAGCAAGCACATACACTTACAATCATGTCAGTGATATAACAACCTACTAGATTATACAAAACTTGGCCAAACGTGATCAAGCAAGCCTAGAAGTTACAATGACACTGAATACTAATTGCTGCTTGTCTGTTCTTGGATCCCGCTCAACTCACACAGCACTGAGTCAGATATGACTGAAACATTGACATGCAGCTCTATGAGATGGACATGGTGGAATTTTGTTTTTGTTTTCCACAGCAATAGGGCTTTGGGTGGGTGTGTCACCTCAAATGATCCTCTCCTCACTTTGGGCATCCAAATGTTTTAATTATCTCCTGACAACGTGTAAAACTCGTTTGTGTATAATCTGTTTAGGGGCATTTTGTCTCCGGTTTAACCACAGAAGTGCTAATACTGCTATGTGACTATTCTTAGAATAATGGAGCAATAGGTTGCAGTCACTCGCCCTTGACAAACGTTACCCTTAAACACAGCAAATGCAATACTTGTTTTTAAAGACATTCCCCTCTAGATTATGAAATGTCTATTTACATCAACACGGCATGTTTACTGTTTGTTATTCCCGACAGAAGACATATTCAGTGTAGCTTGTCCAAATTTTGTCCTCGTTTGGATCATTGCTGGTGTAGGCGCAGGTGCCTGTGGAGCTGCAGGCCACCATGTGGAAGCCCGCCTCTGTCAGCTTGTCAAATGCCTGCTCTAGAAAATTATACTTCAGGTAGTACCGGGATGTGTATCTCTCAGGTGGTCTGTCTGGGTCTCTGCTCTCATTCAGCGTGTCCCCAAACACTTCTTTGGCCAGAGACGTCTTCCCGCAAACCGTGATGCGCGCCACTCTTCTGAATTTGGCGTCGGTTTGGATGTCTCTGCCAATGGTGTACGAGCCGCGGTATCCTACCGTGATGTAGCCCGACTTTCTGGAGTCCAGTGACAGGGAGCGCATGGCCCCGCTGACCGACATGGTGCGTAAAGTCTCCATGCCGCCGGAGGAGCCGCACTGCTGCGCACCTTCCTCCGTGTCACTCTGGCTAATCTCCTCGCTGATTGAATTGTCCTTACTCACCCGGGGGCTGAGGCGTTTGGCAAGGTCCCGCAGCTGGAAAAAGTCAGCCTCCCTCTGCAGTCGACTTTTCTCGGGGAAGTAGTCCGGGAGGACCAAGTTCAGGTCTCGGAGATAATCGAGGATGTAGCGGAACAAGAACCCGTCCCTGTCCAAGAAGAAGCGCCCCTTGCTGTCTCTCGCCAACTCCTTGGGAGACTTCTTACAGAACATGTTCCACAGCAGCGAGTCTGGGACGGCGATGAGAGTTTTGTGTCTGGTCACATAAACCTGCCCGCCGACGTTCAGCTCAATAATCTCTGCAAACGGGGAGCCAGAGTCGCCGCAGTTGGACACTCCGCGCTCTGTGTCGGCCAGTGCCATCTTCTCTGAGCCTGGACTGATGTGGGATCAGAGGGAACACAGAGCAACTAAGTGGCAGCGGCTTGTTTATGAAGTCTGGGCTTACCACGTGCGTGAGTGCGCGTGCGTGACAGGAGGAGGTTGACTGCTGAATTGACATTTAACTATAACATGACTGTCTTGCCAAAAATATAGTCAAGCGTGTGTGAGAGACTGTGCAGCTCTCTCTCTCTCTCTCTCTCTCTCTCTCTCTCTCTCTCTCTCTCTCTCTCTCTCACACACACACACACACACACACACACACACACACACACACACACATACATACATACAGATAGAGAGAGAGAGAGAGAGAGAGAGAGAGAGAGAGAGAGAGAGGTGGGGAGCAAATCCAAGCTCCTCCAGCATCACTTAAAGCAAGCACCCACGTTGATTATGTGTCATTTGTTTTTTCCGGCCCAGTCTGGCAGAAATATAAATGTAGCATACCCTCTGATTACTATTTAATTAATGAAATCAATTATATTGAGCTTTGCACATATCCCATAGGAACACACAAAACCAGAGAGCATTAGTTGATCTGACTTATTCCAGAAATCAAGAAATGATTGAAAAATATGGAAAGAGTGACACCCATTGCAACTCTGATGGAAATGCAGCTATATAACACATGCACACACACAGTCTTGACCTGAAAAACAACATTTTTGACAAAATGGCAAAAATGCTCACTTTCAAGGTTTAAAATTCAAGGTGGTACTCATTCATTGACAGGCAACAACCACTCAAACAAACAGGTTTTATCAAGAAGAAGATGACATTTATTCCCTGAATAAGAATAAGATAAACCAGAACCACTTCCTGTACCAACCAACCAACCAACCCTTACTTGTTAACCTTCACTTAACTCCATCCCTCACCAGAAAAATATAATGGTTTACTGTGAGGACTGGCTTTCTGTAACATGTTATCACTAACTGATCTCTGTCCCTGTTCATAAAGGACATTTACAGTTTTTACCGATCACTTGCTCACTAAAAGTGAATGCTCAGACCAAAGCATTAAACCTAAACAAAGACACCAAAAGTACAAACACATTTTCTGCTTTCTGCAACCCACTTCTTGCTAAACACTACACACTGTTTTTGACATTTAGATACTTTGTTCAAGAAGGAAATCTCTTGCTTTCACTGGCAAACATTTCTATTCAAAATGCAGAACACATCTAAAATTGGCAACACCCACACACACAAGAGGACATTATACATATACATACATACCAATGGAGCACCAATCAGTCTGGGCCTTAGCACTACAAATAGACCTGAGGTAAGCTCCCCTCTTTTGTGAGAACTTTGAAAACATAGAGACAGTGAGAGAAAGAGGAAGAGAGAGAGAGGAGCAGGAGGAGGATGAGGACAAGAAGGGGACCAGGACGGATCAGAACAGCCCAGGTTTGTTGTTATCTGGGATAATGTTACTATAGTCTCTGGTCCGGGGCTGGTTCACCAACTACTTTACTGTAACTACACAGTTGTACTCTCAGTTTCTCAATCTGATTGAGGAATTCTTTTCAGCTTGCCATCGGAAAGTGTATGACCGCCAACCACATGCTCGCTGCAAGCAATGGCAAAGGCAGGCAGAGACACTGAGGTGGGATCATTCGGTGCCTTGCCAAGGACGACATTGCTTGTGATGTGGCCAGATCAGAAGACAGGATCCAAAAACCATCCATGCCATCTCTTACAACTCATTCCAATTCTATTTTTATTTACCAATGCACTGTAATTTTACTGTAATTATTTTCCCCATGAGTTTACAGTAACATATTGTATTGATTACTGTGCTGTAATTCTACTTGCATACAGTTTTTTCCATTTCTATTTAATTCTTTCTATTTTTGTGTTCATTGAATATAGATGCACTGTACTGGAAGAATCTTTCACAGAAGCCTGTATGAGAACATTTTGAAGGTATACAAAGTACTAAAGACTGTAGTGTTTTGTATAAGGCACACCATTGTGTTGTTGTTGATTTATATATATATATATATATATATATATATATATATATATATATATAGGGTTATTCCGAATGCCTGCCGAGTTGGATTTGGTCAGATTTCCCTTGAAATCAATGAAACACTACCCCTTTTGTCCACAGGAGCCGCCAGAATCAACACAAATTGAAAGTTCCTTGGGGGGCTAAAAACACATGCACAATTATCAACAAAATGTACTTAAAGTATCAAAAGTAAAAATACTCATTGTGCTGTAAAATGGTCCCTAGTAGTGTTTTACTATTATATATGATGTTTTTAGATTAATATAACTAGTGCATTAAGGTGTAGGTTGCATTTGACTGCTTATGATGTTTAAGGTTAAGCTAATTTGAACTACTATATATACTGTTGTTTGGTTTAAACTATATCAATGCATCATATTATATAAGATCATCATATGTTTGTAGCATCACTGTCTTATCAGAATATCGGAAGAGTCAGCTGTTCATGAGAGCAGTTTTCAGTTTGGAGACAACACATTTTCCAGCTTTTTAATAGGTAATTTAGGGGTTTAGTTACACTTAGTAGAAGTAGAAGAATTTTCTTAACCCATAAAGGAACAGAAAAAATCTAAATCACCAGATTTGGTGATATGAAAAATTGTAATGGAAGTAACTAGTAACTAAAGCTGTAAATATATGCTTCTGACATGTTTAGTAGAAATATAAAGTTGTATAAAATGGAAATACTTAATTAAAGTCAATTTATGTGAAATGTGTACTTAAGCTCAATACTTGAGTAAATATACTTAGTTACATTCCATCCTTGCCAGGAGGGAACATGTAACGTTTGACCAGTTTACTCAACTCAACATTCATTAAAATTGATATCCACGTTTGTGTTAATGAAAACAAACGGCCATATCGGATTATAAATTGGTGACCTTTATTTACAGTAACCGCTGAGCTGCCCATCAACAGTCAGTTGTCATCTGATCAGGATGTGGGCATACATCAGAGAAAAAAAGGTTGGTAACCACTGAGTTAGAGGGTTTATCCTCCTTTATCTGTTAACAAACTCAGTGGTTTTACCAACAAAGTCATCATATATATTTTTAACCTCACTGCTGAGGGTTGGAATTATTATTTTCCCTGTTGTTTGAAGGCAGACATACTTTTGTCATGTGCTTGTCATGAGTGATTGGCTGAGACATAATTTCCCTGTTCAGAACTTCCCATTGCAGAGAGTTGAATTTCCAGTGTCATCTCAGAAAGAAACTGGTTGTGAAAGCCAAATCAAACCAAAATGAAGCCCTCTCACCACTTCTGTCATTATATTCTCACAGCAACACATAAAAGTGGCATGGGTTCAGTGTGATACCTTTTATTTTTAATTCTTCCTTCATATGAATTTTGTACTGTACTGGAACAATCTTTAAAAGTTTGCTGGGTTGAAATTATTATTTTCCCACTTGTTTGAAGGCAGGTTGTTTGTGTCACTTCCCCGTTCAGAACTTCCCACACCGACCAGTGTCTGTCATCTCAGAAAGAAACTGGTTGTGAAAGCCAAATCAAACCAACATGAACCCCTTTTACCACTTCTGTTATTATATTCTCACAGTCACACAGGATTAAAAACAGCCAGCAAAAAAGTGGCATGGCTTCACTGTGATGATTTTTTCAATTTTTTTATTCTTCCTTAGTATTTCCATTATAACATACAGGTCTTTTTAAATAACTTTTCTGTCTCAAAGACAACAATCATATGATGGTGGATGGTTGATGATCATAGAAAACAAAGCAAAAGCAAGAGATTTAGTAGATTAGCCAGAGTGGTCAAATCTAGAAAATCAAAGATGATGACCAGTCATTGTGAAAGTTCCACCTTCTCATCATAGTTGTTTGAGCCACTTTGGAAATTCGGAAGACCAGCCTTCGGATAGTGAAAGGACCTATAAAAGGCAATAGCACTTGGATGTTTTGTCACTTGAAGACGTCGTTTAGTTGCAACAATGCTTCGCAAGGTATTGATGTTTTTCTCTCAGACTTACATTTTTATTTCAGCATTTCACTACACAAGATTCAGTTTAGGCACCTTTTGTACTTTTGGGTTAAAAAAATAATAGATGCAGCATATTTTAACTAATTTCCCAGGTTAGATCCTTTACCACTCTACTGTCTCTGGGGAGGTTTGTATCTTACAGTTTTGGACTGACTGGCTGTGTTTCACCTTTCCAGGGTATTACAGAGAGCTTTGGAGCTGCTATCCATGCCCTCAACTCCACGCAGCTGACAGATGGTGTGATTAAGAGGAGCAAAAGGATGATGCTGGACACGCTAGGTGTTGGGCTGTTAGGAACCAGGACAGTTGTCTTCAACAAGGCTCTCAAGTACAGCCAGGTACAGTAGTGGAGGTCTACTATACCTTTATGTACAGTATGTTCACTGTATCTCTCTCTTTTTATTGGTGTCAGCTTGTGATCATCATCAAATCTCTTTTTATTTGGCTTCATCTGAGGTTTTCTGTGTTCATCTCATACTTAAATACTAATACTACTGATTGTCAAAATTATTTAATCCCTGACAAATACTACCAATTGATTAGTTTGACCCACTACCGTGCACTGTTTGTGATTTATATCCTTTTCTGCAAGATGTTTACATGATTAGACTGCCTCCTTTACTTCCTCAATAAGCCAGTTAGTTGATATAATCCCTTTTATGCTGCTATTTATTCATAATTTTGTTTGTTGAAAATTAGCGAACTTCACAACTAAGCTCAGATTTATCTATAATTAATTGCACACTTATCCTCGTATTAATTTCTCTGATTGCAGTTGTTCATGTCTGAGGAGAGGAGCAGTGTTTGGGGTAAATCAGACATAACTCTTCCTCCTTACTACGCTGCTTTTGTCAATGGCATCGCGGTAAGCTTGCTCAAATAAATCCATCATAATTTAAAGAAAACATAATATGTTGGTGGTATGAAGCCTGATTATGTGTATTGTCACATTGTTTTGTTGCAGGTTCACTCTATGGATTTTGATGACACTTGGCATCCTGCTACCCATCCCTCAGGAGCCGTGCTACCGGCCCTGCTGGCCCTGGCAGAGACACTGCCCAGCCAGACATCCGGTCTTGACCTGCTGCTGGCCTTCAATGTTGGTATCGAGGTGCAGGGCAGACTCATGAGGTTCTCCAAAGAGGCCTACAACATC